AATTCAATTAAATATAAACCAACGATAACATTTTCATGCCTACTGAATATTGATAAATGTATTGCATAGTTTAAAAAAAATTTTTGAAACAAAAGAAGCTTTTATATAATTTACCCTAATTAAAAAACAATAACGCTTTTCTGCTAAACACATTTAATATGGTTCACGTATATTTTATTTCAATTTTGTTATATATACAATTTTACAAATTAGAAAAATATAAACCTATAAAGCACAGAGTGAAAAGTTTTATTTAATGTTAACTGTTAAAGAGATTTTACGTACGTACGTATGTACAATAAGTAAATGGAGGTTTACCTGATAGAATTTAAATGGTGTTGATAATAACCAGCACACATTCAATATGTGCTATAAAAAGAAATATTATATAAATATTATAAGGTTTAACTAATAAGACACATGAGCGATGAATATAAAAGTTTACTATTTCTATTTTTAGTATGTAAAGTTTCATAGCAATGCATACATCGAATTATGGAATCAAAAGTCGGTTTAACTTATTGAATCTTATAAATACAACCCGAATACGATAAAAAAAATTTTGGGGTACATTCAGAACGATCAGAACGTTCCGAACTGAACGATCCGAACGTTCTGAACAGAACTATCAGAACATATAAAATTTTTATACGAAAATCCCTTCTGTTTTAGTCCAAAAGGAAATGTGGCGGATCACGAGTAAGATAGCAACCAATAAATAAGATGACTAACGCTAATCATAAACTTTATTAGAAACGATCAGCTGCATGCCGACAAAGAAAGATTAGAGTGGGTTAACTTAAAAATCGAGATAAATTTTCTTTTTTTTTTAATTTAAACAAAGATTTCAACGATCATCGATTCAAATTCGATGAAATTTTTTTTTTTACTTTCAAGAGTTTTAGAAAAAATTAGCCACAGCTTTTTTATAGGTGCCTAAACTTTAAACAAACATTACATGGCTTTACCTGATCAAATTCGATCAATTTTTTTATATTACTTTTTTAGACTTATAGAATTATTACAAAAAAAAGTTTAATAACTTTTTTTGTCTTAATTCTAAACATTAATGGAATTAAAAAAAAAAAAAATTCAATGAGTTTGAATCAATGGTCATTGAGAAATTTTCATTGAAAATTTATCGCGGATTGTGCGAATTTGCACGCCAATATAAACAATTGAACCGAGCATAGGTATGCTGAAAATTATTGTTGCTGTTTGCAAAATTCTGTATCCCCCTTAAAAATTATCAAAATAGAAAATATCGCTTGATTATTGGTGAATTTTAAGTGATACTGATTTTGTAACAGATGGATAAACTTTATACCGGTTCAATCTCTATCTACAGCATTTCATACGAAATTAATTTTCGAATAAATTATTTAATTAGACATATAGACATTATTTCACTTTTACAACTTTAACATTTTGGCATGCTAAATGGAAAGTCAAAATATTCCTAAAGCTTAAATAATTTCGGCTAACACCACAAGGATTAGGATTAGATTAATTGTTTTTGTGCCTAGATGTTGTACCCGTCAAGAAAATCTCTACCAGATATTTTTAAATAATTCAGTTATCCGGGTAATTTATTATAACCATATAATAAAACTGTCTACTCGGGTACAATCTCTATTTGTTCCATCTCGTTTTTTGCAACGTTCGTTAATCTACGCTCCGAAGTCAATACATAAAATATCTAAAAAATAAAAGATGAATCAATAAATATTGAACAAATAAAGTATTTCAATGAAAAATTTTTTGGCAAGAAATGCAGCCAAATATACAATGAAAGTAAACAAAAACCTATTATTCGGAGAATTGGCCTTCGATAATTATGTTACACATCAACTAAAATTGAGATATTAAGCATTCAATTTATAGCATACGTTAATATTTCAGGTGCACAACAATCATTATTGTTAATAAGGATAACAGTGATGAAGGTGTTACGATGTAACACTGTGAAATTATGCCAAGTCATCCAAACAAAAAAGTAAACCAAGTACTTTTACCTGCTTCAATCACAATAAAATTAATTTATTTCCGACTATATCTAATAAAATTAAGTTTAATAAGGACAAATTTTAACTCTAAAAGAGGCCAATGAGAATAAAGGTATTAGAATTCTTCTCCTATTTTAGAGTAGAGGCTATTTCCCAACCGAGTTAAAATTAAAAACCATCATTGCTAAAATAACACGTAAATCCCATAAAAGACAATAAGTGAGAAATAAGATATCAATCATCAACTGTCAAGATAATAAGATATTACTAAAACGATATCTTATTAATATTATCATCATGACTGTTATTACTATTTTATTGATCTCTTATTGAGCAAAATGGTTCAATCATATGGATAGGATACTTACTCTTACTGATGCTTATTGTACTCTATTGAATGAACTTTAACTTGCTCTCTAATCTTACCATCACTGCAACTTTTTACAATTGGACCTAAATTAAAAACTCCGAATTACTATTTGATTTTCGTAATTAATATGTATTAACCACATGACGCATTATCAAAATAATCCCTAAATCTAATAAAACTAATATAATTATTGCATCAAACATATTCCCCCCATCTTCTATTTTTTTAAAGTCGATCTGTTTTATGGTATTTATTTATTAAATATTTTAACAACATAACGTTGATATTACACGAATGATTTTACACACGGTGTGAAACACATAATAAAATGATTTTGTACATGTTACGATTATAATCCAACATCATTTTTTTATAATAAAAAAATGGTGTTGGATTATAATCGTAACATGTACTAGTTGACTGATCAAGTCCGATCAAGTATTGTAAAATCAATTTTTTATGTGTTTCACACCGTGTGTAAAATCGTTCGTGTAACATCAACGTTTCCTCCTATTTATTTTAACTCATATTAACACATCCGTCAAATATGCGTCATAATTTTTTTGGGTAGTATAAAAGGTTCGCCATAATGCTGTACGTTATCAAATTATTGTTTACGTAATTTACTATTCAGGCAAAATTTTTAAAATTCATTAATGTTTGGTTGTTATACAGTAAAATTGTTCAGAGAAACCTTTTTATTAGAGCACTAAAAGAGGTTTTCAATGCAGATTTTTGGGAAATAACCGATTTTTGACAAAACGAATATTTGGTTTAAACACTTAATTGTGTTGCGTTACGTCTTTATATACAGAAAATTTGCGCCACAAATCAGATGCATGGACAAATCCTGTCGTATCTAAATCGTTAATTATTTAAGTAATATATACAGTATATTTAAAAAAAAAATTTCAAATACTTTTAATAGAACCTTGGACAATGATAAAAAAAAAGCATAAGGGGAGGGCCAGAAAACACGTGTTTTTTATTTTGACAAAATTGCCCCCCTCCCCCTAGGTTTCTTATCTTCTCTATTTTTCTATATATAGACGTGTTTTTTGAAAAGACCCCCTCCCCCCCAAAAGAAAACACGTATTTTCTAGCCCTCCCATAATAATAAAGTCAATGACTCATTTGAATATATTTTTTCTGTTATTTATGTTGATGGAATTTAAGCTGATTCTGAATTTCTTAATTATAATAGAGTTAGGATATGGGTGTACATATGATAATATCAGCCTCAAAATGCGGGATTTATATAAAATTAAGAATCCACCTAAATTCCGCTTCCATTACAAGAGAAAAAAACATTACCTTTCATTTATAATGACATTTATTATAGCACGAATCCCTTGGTATCTTTAAGAAAATTTCCTTTTAATTTACTTATTATCAAAATAAATAAATACCGTATACTGCAGTGAATAAGCACCCCCTATAAATAAATTTTCCGATTTAGAATAAATATTCCCAATAAAAAGAATAAACAAAACAAAAGTAGGTTCGTTATTAAGTAACCCTACTTTATAGTTCTAAGCAAACTTGTTCACATAAACGTTCTCGAACTTTGAGAGCCATTGCGGACTATCTGCTGGAACGATTTTGAGAACATGTTTACTTAGAGCTGGAAAGTAGGTTATATAATATCGATCCTATTGCCGGAAGAGTTGATTTTTTTAAAATACTGCTATGAATAAGCACTCCTTATTATGACCAAAGGGGGTGTTTATTTACCGCAGTATTTGATAGATGTACGGTAATTATAAGTTTAATAGTATGCAATTTTTTAGGAATTCATGTATATTTTTACACACAAAAAACTAAAAATTAAAGTGTTTAATCCAATAGTGAGTTCTGTCAATCATTACGCTTACTATTATAATAAAAATAAAAAACATTACAAACAATTTATAAATAGAACTGAGTGGCTTTAGAATTACCAATTTTTTTATTCTGTATAACCATTTTTGTTTGTTTACTACACAAGTTTTTAATTTGCGCCAATCTTTTTATAGATTTATTAATATAATTATGTGTATGATATATATATGCCTGCTCGGATATGCGAATAATAAATTTGCCGCATAATTATAATTCATCTATTTACTAAAAAAGAATTAGTGTTACGAAAGCCCTATTGCATTGGTAATTAACATCGTCTTCTCTAATTCGGTGACACGAAATTAATCGAATTACGTGAAAAGGGGTAATGTCACCACATCTTACTCGAACGAAAAACATTATTGGTGTCCTTGTTTCAACTACAATAATATATGGTTTATTTCCACATATATCGTAATTATAACATTAATTTAAATTTATGGGGTAATAACTTACCGTTCCAGGCGAAGCAAAGACTTACTGTAAATTCAAAATAATGTAAATAATAAAAAGAACGCTATTGTCGTTCTTTCCTAAAAGTAAATTTTGTATAACAAATCATTTATGATTGGATGTACAGTTATAGATTATTGGCATCGTCTTTAATACAGAATAATGATATAATCGAAGTCAGCAACCTCAGTAGTTACAATATAAATACTGGGAGAATTTTTCAAATCATAATCATAATTACATACGCATTTACTCACCTATTAGCAGCTTAACTCTTTACATATTTTATAATGTTATATGATTTAATTGTCGTTGGAGGTGGGTTTGCAGGCATTTCCACTGCAATCGAATTAGAAAAGAGAGATTTAAACGCGAAGGTACTTGTACTTGAAGCTAGTGAGCAGATAGGAGGTCGTTGCCGGAACGCAAATATCGGACCAAATGGTGAATCATCAATCGGATTTGGTGCTCAATATTTAGGAATAAAACAGACAAAGATATACAATATCGCGACTCGACTATCTTCTTTGAGAAATAACACAAAAGTTTATGGTCCCAATCCATGGTTTCGGAATATTTCAGAAGGAAAATGGTATGATACGTCTGTTGAAACTTCTTGGAATGGTATTCAAGCTATTGATCTTAATGCTTCATGGTCAAAAAAATTGTCCCTCTGTAAGACAGTGCTTCTTGTATATGCTTTAGAGAATCTTATTAATGGTGCATATCCAAGCTTAAGTTGGGGTGCACATTGGTTAGATAAATGGACTGTAAAAGAATGGGTTGATGCTCAAAAACTCCATCCATGGATCATTGAATTATGGGAAATGGGTGTAAGAGACATTATGAGTATTGATCCCAAGGATCTAAGCTTACTTCATTTTCTCTGGTACAATGTAACAAACGGTGGATTTTTTGATGAAGTTACAAAGGATACGGCTGGTGGACCTCAAGAATTCTCTGTTGAATGTGGTATGGGTGGATTAGCTCAACGTTATAGTAAGGAAATCCGTGGTGATATTCTATTAAACTCTCCAGTTGTTGAAGTCAAATCATGTGAAAATCAGGAAATCATTGTTCAGTGTAAAAACGGAAAGACATATACTGCTCGAACTGTGGCAATATGCGTTACCCCCGGAGTAACTAATCAAATTAAATTTACCTCTTTTAATAATACGCCTGTTATCAGTCATGAACGTACACATTTATTTGATCAGCCAATTGGCTACATAGCTCGTGTCATCTTGCGTTATCCTTATCGTTTCTGGCATAATGTTTCAATTCCTCAAAATCCTAATGCAAACTTTTATGGATTTTCAACAGGGGCAGATTCAACTGAATTAGGAGTACATATGGAATGGGGAATAGATGTGTCTGATCCAGCCAAGGAATCTTATGCACTAAGTGTATTTATTCGTGCAAGTATATTTGATGACATTCGTACAATGAATCTTTCCAATGAGAAATACATCGAAGAAGTTGAACGGCGATTGAAAGAGGAAGCAATCGAACTGACACAGATGGAAGCGGCCCGAATGGCAAGTAGCGTGGAATGGTACGAATGGCCAAAGAATGAATGGATAAGAGGAGGACCAAATACTTATACACGGCCTGGGGTATTAACTAAAGTAGGAAAAAAATTGCATGAACCAGATGGACCGCATAAAAACATCTTTTTTGCAGCAGCTGAGTATGCACCAGCCAATGTAGGATATGTCGAAGGAGCAATACGTAGTGGTGAATTAGTAGGGCAACAAATTTATGCAAAATTACATGGAAAAGATGTACAGAGTGTATTAATAGTTGGCAAGAAGCCGAATATATTGCTTGCAATTTTGTATGCCTTGCTATGGGTTATAGTATGTAGCATAGAAATAGTAATAAATATAATTTTAAGATTTTTAAACTCAATAATGATTCCTGAACACGCGTGTCAAATGGATTGGATTTATCCATTGTTATACCTCACAGTGTTAACGATTCCTTCACCATATGCTTTATTAGTTCCACAAATTTTCACATTTGTTATTGTTTCACAATTTGACAATATTACAGGATTCAAAGCATTGACTGCACCAGAACCATCTCCAAACCGAATTTTTGTGCATGAAATGTGTGTAATATTTTATTTATTAGTGGCATTATTTCAATCTAGTAGATCAGCTACATTTGAATGGATAATATACGCATTAAATGGTGCACTACTAATGGCAACATATGGCGCAGCAATAACACACGAAGCTACGCATGTTGGTGGTAAACTATACAAAATAAGATCAAGTTTTATATACTTGATGGCAAAATCAATCGATATTTCTCTTGGTATAAGTTGGGGATTTGGGCAATATCATTGGAAAGGACATCATGTTAAATTTGCATGTCCTGAAGATTTTGATACACCATATTTTAATGAGTCATTTTGGGAATTTCTTCCACGAAATTGGATGGGCAATTTTTATTATGGAAGTAGAGTTGATTCTATAGTTATTATAATTACTTTCTTCAGTTGTTCGTATCTAATTCTTGGCTGGAAAGCTTTAGCTCATCTTTTACTGCAAAGTGTAGTTACACAAATATCATTTTCATCAAATGCGTACACGCAACATTACGGGTTGAATCGAAATTTGACGTACAAATCAGCGGGTAATAATAAAGAGCTTAGATCACATACTTGGGATAGTCCCGGATGGTTATTTAATTCTGTATTAATGGGAGCAGGATTGCATCACGCACACCATGTGAAATATTTAACAAAGCTAGCAAAAGAGAGTGTACCACTTGATTCAGGAATTGGAATATTAGATTCGGCTGGCTTAGCGTTATTTCCACAAATATGGTTTAAGAAGATTAATCCGTTGATACCAACTGAAATACGGTTAATAAAGAAAAATGATTTGATTGAAATGAATGATGTTGAACTTATTAACAAATCTACGGTAAATGGTCGAAATAACTTGAATCTTTAACGTATGTAAGTCACGAATCAAATAATAATAATCGAATTTTATTATGCTGATAAACATATATAATTAAAAAATATGGCAATTAAATAATTCGGAAGCTGATATTTCGACCTTTCCTTTTTAGTTATAGTATCCTCTAGTTACATATCAACGTCAGGAAGTTGTTTTATGTAAAATTTAATGAACTTCATTTAAATTATTTTAAATTATACAAACTTAAATACAGAACGAATTTCAAATTTATAACTTAAATTGTTGTTAACAACCTACAAATAACAATTCTAATATTACATAATTATCTAATATGGAGTCATTGCTTTATAAAAACTGGTTTCATTCTATATCAGTGTTGTTGACTGGAAGCTGGAGCCTCACTGGATGTCCAGATATTTCCAGTGTTCCAGTGGTTCCAGTGAAGTTTTCACTGGAACCGATATAATACTAGCCAATAAGGTTACGAATAATTAAGGTTATTATAAACACGTGATATGCCTGATATCCAATAAGTTGCAAGAATACTTTTCATTTTACTATTAAATGTACCTCGAAAATAGAGAATTGTACTGGTAAAGCAAACATCCGTGACTTATATTCATTATCACCACAAATTTTTTGTTTAACTACTATTAAAATTAAAGCAAGTAAAATTAAATCCTTACAATAAAATTATACAAAATATAATTTCGATATAGTATTTTATTTCAAAATGTCGATCATTTCATTTTAAACACGAAATCGGGTTAAGTGAAATAATGTAAAATGGCCTCGATTTAGGGCTTGAAATGAAATAATTATATGAGAAATCATTCAATATGGTGATTCAGAACTAAGGTTCAGGTTTTTGATTTCGAATTAAATTAGTGATGCATTTATTTTAAATTAGTAATTCATAAATCTTATTTATTTTGATTTGTAAGCTTATTTATTATATAATAATAATTAATACTTTTATGATCGTGAATTTTCTTTTGAAACTTGATATCTTCACATATATATTTTAAAATGTCTTATATTTCGGCAATTACATAAAGTTATAATAATATTTTAGTAACACTAATAAAAGAATATCATAATATTATTTAAAAATTTTTAATAAAATTTTAAGTGTTAATTTGTATTTCTTTATTAATTTATTACGATAGTAACATATGGGCTAGGTGCTGGAAAAAGGGCCGAAAATGACAATTTTTCAAAATTTGTATTTTGAGCTTAAGTGATCCAAAATTGACTTAGGAACATTTTTTACTTAAAAAAGAAGTGCTGATATCTTAATAAAATTTTATGTTATAAATAAAACGATATAAAAACCTCGTAAATATATCCGACGTAAATCGATGTAGAACATCGGAATTTATCGTAAAAATGTTGGAAGTAATATCCCTGATGATAAGCCAATCAAATTCACTTCAACTTAAGTTTGTGTGCGCTAAAAGGTATCTTATTTCGTTAAATTAGTAATGTTTTTGATTTGACAAACGCTTACATATTAAAATTAAAAACTTAATATTCAATCGTAATAGACAACCCTCCATAAGTACATGTCGTTGTGGAAATGTGCACTTATGGAAGGAAAAAAAAAAAAGATGTAAGTCCGAAATTCAATAATATTTGTTTTGTACTGATCAAATTCTGTGCACTTATAAGATATGCATTTATGGTTGTATAACGAAACTCTTACACGGTATCCTCAAGTATAGTAAACTACAGCCGAAGCACCGAATTTTGGTAAGTAAGGCGAGACCAATTTGATTCGGTGGTTTACATTACATTGGAGGTCTTGAAGAGGGAGGGGGAGGGTAAAGGCATATATATATATAGAATAAAAAAAATTTTATTATATGTTTATTTAAAAAATTTTTTTTTATCAATTATAAATTTAAGCTTCCCGCCTTTTCTTTTTACTGTTTTTGCCGACCTTAATCTCTAAACGAGTAAAATAATCTTTTCCTAATTCTTTACATGTATTACAACATGGATAAACTATTTTATATTGGTCAGTTAACGAACTTGGTATATCAGATAAGTCGTCTTCAGTTCCACACCAATAACAAAGTTGTGTTTTATCACCATTTTCACAGGCATAATAATTTGTTTCAATCGGTGAGTTACAAGAAATATGTTCACGAACAAAAAGAATATTATATAATGGATGGTCTTCTGCTAAGATAGGTCCACCACAAGTATATAGATTATTTTGAAGAGCTGTTTGCCATTGCAATTCTTCTTCTTCACTTAATAAATATTGACTATAAAGACAATGCCATTTTCCACATGCTGTACATTCTACCCACCCACGAATTTTCTTATATGTATATAGACCATTAGAACCACGTTCTTGTTCTTCTTGATTTAATAATAAAGATGGGCAATAACTTTCATTAGTTTCAGTACCATATATAGAATTAAAAGGCGCATAATGATTTAAGTCTGTAATATTGTAAAGTACTTTAAAAAATTATTTAATAAATAATTAAAATATTTTAGAGGTCCAATCTGGATAAATCCATTATCTGTTTATCCGTATCTGAATTATCCGGATATCTGATAATTATTCGGATAAATAATTCAGATTAGAACTCTAAAATTTTATTTAAAAAGAAATCTAAACAAACCATCTGTTGATAGTATAGGGTCAGGTAAAAAATTTAATGAATTAAACTCTTCAATCGGCATTTTAACTGGCTTGCACAAATCGCAACTTGGCTGCAAACATTTTTTGATCTTAAAATAATGTATTAGAACTATGAATTATTAATTTAAAGTAATAACTAAAAATAATAACCTAAAATAAATATATTCTTTGTTGACAATGCGATCTTAAAAATTCCATTAATTTATCATGTTTTTTTAAACTTGCCCAGGTAGTTTCATTAACTTGAAGTGTATTATCAATACACTTTATTTCCTATAAATTTTAAGAATAATTTAAATATTTATTTTTTAAAAAAGTATACTAAATACTTAACCTGAAACAATTCATCTATATCTATATCTAAAACAGAATCATAGCATTTAAATAGATTTTCATTTAAAACAAGTTGCTTAGTTCGCTCATATAAAAGATCTTTAATATCAGTAATACTATTTTGAATTGCCTTTTTTAAGTTTCTATTATTATTGGCTGCTTTTCTAATATCTTCAAGTGTGTTTAATTGCTCAAAAATTTTCTCATACTCTGTACTAAATTCATTACGTACTAATGCAACATTTTGCAATCCTAAATTAAGAATTGACATAATTCTTTTAGCAGGATTCGCCCAACTATGGTATGATGCTGTTCTCATTGCTATAAGCATATCAAAATCACCTTTAAAAAATAATGAAATAAGAGAAATTTGCACAGATCCAAAATTTGTTCTATGATCAGGGCCGCCATCTGTATATATGCATAAAATTGGTGAAATTTTACTAGAAAATTTCTGATTGATAGCTTGAAAAAATTCAGCTGCATGTCGAATTGCATTGCTACTTTCAAATACAGTATCCTTATATCCTACATAAACATCACCACTATAAAAAGAACCTGAAATATCATTTGGAACATCACAAAAAAAAATAACTAATGGAGTAATTGATAATTTAGTAAAATCATGATCACATGCAGAAAGCATATTATTTAATGGAACTAAAGATGGTCTATTTCGAACTCCTGAAGAAGTAGGAACTTTTTCACCAATTGAAATTTTATGTTTATCATCTGCTAAAATAAAACATATATATTCTTGATATAAAATTGCAAATTTACGCAAATATCGAAAATAAGCTGCACAATAATGTGCATCAGGATGAAATTTTCTAAGCTGCCAACTTTGAACTTGATATTTAATTTTAAATTTTCCAGTATATTTTATTGCACAATTTACTGTTGAATTTGTTGGCCAAAATTGTAAACGAATCCATTCTAAGCTTGGTATACAAATTGAATCTGGAAGAGGATCTCCATATCGAAGTATAAGTCGTTGAATTATAGATTTTTGAAGATCTCGTATAGAAACAAACCATGGCATATATAAAATATTTCCATGTCTTCAATCATTTACTGCTGGAGTATTCTAATTTGAATATAATCAAATTTTAATAATTAAAAATATAATTTTAGCTTAATAAAATTATAAATAATTACTTCATCAAAAAATGCTTGCAACTCTTCCCAAAAAAAATCAAATTTTGTTCCACTAAACCCATTATTTGTCTGAAAATCAAAAACAATATCTGGATCTTCAAGCTCTAACATTAATTGTAAACGTTCTTGTACATCTTTACTATCTGTATTACAGGCAGACATATCACCAGTAAGATCACAATGCAACATAGTTGGATTTAATGTCTTTATTAAAGAATACTAAATAATTAAATAAGGATGTATATTTTAATAAAATTATTAGTTTTTTGATAGAATTTTTAATATTCTTACTTTATTGGTAAAAGTTTTTCTCATTTTTCGTGTCATATATTGTGGAATCTTTTCATTAATTGCAGCAAGTGTTTGAGTATTACGAGTTTCATGCTCATTATTATGACTTTCAAATTCAATAATTCGCCAAGCATAATTAATACTACCCAGATAATTTCCTTGATTATATCTAAATAAATATATTTATTTATTAATTTAATTAAATTTAATAAGTATAGATTAAAAATTACCTATATAAGCAAATAGAAAATGATAATTTTAATTCTACAATCCATCGATGACGCTCAATATTTTCTGATGGAAGAAATTCCGAAATTTCAATAAACTCATATAAATCTTTTTCAGTAAGAATCATTTCTAAAGCTTTATATTTAGGGTTAATATTTAAAACTCCTGTAATTATTGTTAATTTGCTATACTTATTAGGTGTACGAACTATTGTAGTAGAATGATGTGCACTATAGGTAAGTTGAGCAGACTTTTCCAAATGCTCTACATATTTTCGCATCATGGTAGTAAAACTAAATACTTCAGTAATAATTTCGGTCCAGCATTTTTCACTTGCCCATATTTCACTTGCACTATATTCTAATAATTTACAATATTCAAGTAATTTTTGTTGAGAAAGCTTTTCTTTTTTATGATGTGAAGTAAAGTAAAAAGTATTATAAGTAGACCCAGATTTATACGTTGCTAATTGTTTAAACAAAGAAGGCATATGACATGCATGATTTTGGAGTAATTTAATATGTGGATCAATGTACCATATAGCATTTGATAAGCACTCTATAAATATTTTGCCTCGTGAGTCCTGAATTCCACTAGACCATCCTACTTTTTTTTTTCAAAAAGGTCAATAAGCTCATTAAATAAACGATCATGGCTATTACCTCGTGTTAATTTTTTAGGCAAATGAAGTTGCTTAGCATTACTCATTAACACAGAGTTTACATCTAAAGATACAGGTGATGTTTCTTGTATTTTAGAAGATTCAAGTAAAAATCTAACCATTTTGAAGTTTAACTGAATCAACGCATGCAAATAATCAGTTAATTCATCTTGTAACAATATCCAATTGTCGGCTTTTTTCTCACGGCCAAAAACAAGAATATGTCTCTCCAAAAAGTGATCACTAGCTACTTCAAAAAGTAAATCTTTGAAGGTTCCGTTTTCTACTATATGGGCTATATTAATAGCAGTTTCATACAAAACTTTAGGGGTTCCTCTACTATTACATGGATGTAAAACATGATGGTATGTATCAGTTCTCAAGCAACAATAACATGCGTAATTTTTATATATTTCTTTAAAAAATCATATCGCATTAATGATTTACTAAATTTAGTATTAGTATGAAGTCATAGATTAGATCTGCGCTATACGCAAGTACTATGTCAATCAAAACTATATGTGGTCATTTAATAAAATTTATTTATTAATAAGTAGCTGCGCGACGTTGTCACGCGAAACCAGGAACGGGAAATTAGTATATCTGATATTAGATATTATAAAGAGAATTTTTTAAATGTATTTTCACATACTTGAATTTAGCATAGCGCACACTGACTTTACCACTAAAAATTCGGCACGAGATATACGTATATATTCGGTTAGAACAAAATAATTAATATTCTCAAAGATGTATGATTTGTAAATGACCTTCTATATATAGTAATTCTAACTCAATAAGAGATGCGATGAGAATCATGAGAAGCACGAGTGCGATTCTATATCAACAAGTACCGGTTCAAATCCGGCAGACCTCAATTCGTGACCCAACCCTTCCTTCTGCCATTTTTATATTCTTATTTATTTCGTATCGATATTATAGCTACTAAAATCAATATCAAGTGTTATATTGATAGTTGACCTGCATTATGCAGGCGGGAAATAGCGGCTAGCATAAATCATGCAAAAAAATTTTCGCTCAAATCTTTGACGATCAGTAATTATCATTTCATTAACCCAATAAAAAATCCTACGAAAAAAAACAGAAAATCTAAAAAATCTAACGAACATATATGAAAATTCACATCGGGCCACCAGTATTTATGCCAAAAAATCAAGCTTTTACTATCATTTATTACAACATATGTAAATTAATACGGTTCCAGGTTTTATTTTTGTTCATTGTACTGTACACATAAAGGGTACGTAGTACTGGTCACATTAAATATTGAGGCAGCTCATACACAGGTGCAATGGTCACGTTATCGCACATATATAAGGTGTGAAAAATGGCATGCGAAAAATAGGCAACGCATAACGATATGTGATGAACAGAGTCACGAGGACCAATCAAGTGCCGAGAATTGTACACGCATATTAACTTGCCTGTAAACCATACACTACGTTGTACATTGTACAAACTCCGTTCCTAGTACATTATTAATGAATTTTTTTTCAGGATTGATAATACAAATTATTATATGAAAAAAAATTTTCGTTAATAAATTTATTATATAACCGCATATAGTTTTGACTTACAAAGTATACCGCGCACCCCAACTATATGTATAATTATTTTTTTCGCATTTTAGAGGAATACTATATTCGATAAACCCTTACTAAGTAGGAGAGGGGGGAGGTAAAAAGAGGGGGGGTAATGTAAACTACTGAATTAAATTGGTCCGGCCTAATCTGAGACTATTATAATAATCTAATGTTAGTGATAAGGTGGAAGCATTATACTAAATATCAAGCAATTTATAGTTGATATTACCTGATATGAATAGCTCAGACGGAGTATCCTGGCTTGTGAGTATGGAATTTGCGTTAGGAAGAGACATTCATTTGCGGATACGAATGATGAGGGATAAACTAATACTTCCTTATTATCAAAAATCTGAGTATGAATTGTACGGTTAAAATATTCTTGCTTGCTATTGTTATGAACACAGAATTGGAATTAAAAGATGAAAGTGAGCCATCCATTTATTATTAAACTTTGCATTTATGAATGATCCTCTTGTAATATTTTGGCTTGTTATAAAAATGGAATTAAAGTTAAGAATTCTTTTATTCGTTACCAAATTCTGCATGTGAATGATTTAGTTAAAATATTCTGGCTTGGCTATAGTTACGAACATGGAAAATGAAGAGGCATTCACTGATTATCAAAAATTCGCAGATATGAATAGTTCGGTTGAAATATCCTGCTTGGTTTTGTTACGAACATGAAATTGGAATTAAAAATGTGAAAATGAAGCTTTCATTTATTATCAAACAAGAATAACCCATTTGGAAAGAAACATTAATTCATTATAGAAAATCTACAGGTATGAACGATCTTGATAGAATATTCTGAATTGTCTAGTGTCTGTATTGTAACTAGGTTATTTATTTATTTATTTATCGTGTTTACTTAATTTTATTTTATTTTTTATTTATGCATATAGGCATTTCTATTAGTTATTACATAAATGAAATAGAATTGTATTTCAACGATAACTAGATAAATAAATTTGAACACATAGTAATTTTTTAATCCAGAATATTGATAATAACAATGATAGTCGCTTTGGTATGTTGATTAATAATCGTTTTACATTGTTAATTGTAATTACTTAAATTAGTTAGTGTCCGAAATTATTTTTGGAGGACCTTTATTGTTGAAAACAAAGAAGCATTTTAGTTTGGACTCTTTAATGCATTATCGAATAT